CGCATTTCTCTAGTTTGGTGGGTTTATGTGTTCAGAACATCCACTGCACAGATTACATTTCAACTCTAAGACAAAGTATGATTATCTTTACAAAAAGACTAGTTACAGCCATTTAAAAATTACTAAATTTTGAAAATTGAAAAAATAACTTGCAATAATTTTTTTTTTGCATAATCCTCAAAATTTTTAATCAAACTATTAGTCAGTATTGTATTTTCACAAATTTCAAAAATGGTTCTCAGTACAATACAATACAATATAATACCTAATATGTTAATTAAATGGGAAACTAAAATAAAAATAGCGACCCCCTAGATTTGAGCTATAGGGCTCATGTTTGGCGAGGATTTTTTTTACATCAAATAGAAACATTTGAGGGGGTAAGAGTTAGAAAAAAAAATTAAAAATTTTGTTTGAAGCACCCTAATGTATAGTATATAATAAAAGTTTGCCCATATGTGCCGCTGAAGGTCCACAACTGTATCCAGCAACCTCTTAAGGGTTATATGGTATGACAGTTCTTTATTCCCCGTCTATGAAGAAGGTTTACGTTTTTAGCTGCAGGGGTTGGTTTCCACCACTGCAACTGCTTCCTTAAATTCACTTTTTTAATTACTTGCATAATTAAATACCAATTTAATAACCAAACAAGTAGAACGTTGAAAACAATTTTCGTCACGCAATTTACCTGGAATTATTATTTTATAAGATTAATTATACGCTTAAGTGATACTTCAGTATACATATGTATAACATGTTAAATGACCCTTTATTGTTTTTTAAATGTTCGATGTATATAGTTAAACATACTAACCCTTGATTGATAACAAACCAAAAATATTATTAGGATAATTTATTTAACCACCATATAATAATTTCAAAAGAATAAACAACGAAAGGTCAACCATTCGAATGAAGAATTGGATGTATTTGCAATTTTAATAATTGCTTATTTTAAAATTATTGTCTTTTCAAAATTTGTATATATATATGTACGTACTATCTGTAATCATTTTAAATTTAGAAACAATTCGCTTCGTTTTTCGAAATAAGAATAAAAAAGGGTTTTATATTGCAGTTGACACAATACATATCTGCATGTATGTATCTGTACGTATTAATGTTATCAAAACCTGGAAATATAATTTAGATATACGCCTACGCACATATGGAGACATAAATAAGCAGGACGCAATATTTCATATTTTACACATGTATGGATTCTTGTACGTGACAGGTAATTGAAGTGGCATAATAAATGTACGAGCATTAAATATTATTTATGTTTTTTTAGAATGCAGAAATTATGATAAGAATAATCATAATGAATCCGTTATGGTTTTAACTGCTTAACTGTTAGTTTTTTGTAGAAATAATAGAATTAGGTCAAGTGCATGTAAAATATATTTTTTAAAATGCATAATAACATTTTGATATTTATTTTTAACGTTGAAGTGTTTTCAAAAACGTTATTTTAAGGCAACAATTAAATTGTAAGTTGCTGAACTTGCGCTTTTAACACTGATTTGTCCTCAATTATTATTATTATTATTTATTTGACTCAATTATTATTATTACAAAGATATAAGATTTAAATATACATAAGAGAAAAAATA